TTTTTTTTTATTGTTTCTCTGCTTTACTACTGTTAGCAGGTATTTGTTTTTGTTGTTTATCATACACTTACTTTTCTGCTTCTGTGTGTAAGCTTGAAGCTTGAGAAGTTCTGTATTTTTCTTTCGTTTAATCCTTGTTCTCAGACTTTTTTTTCATCCAATATTTTTCGCTTTGGAATGTTACTCGCGTAATCACGACAGTATGCTGCATTTAATTTGTCGTTATGTGATCCAAATCTGTTTGTTTATCTTTATTTTAGAACAGTTTTCTATGTGTATGCAGAATGCTGTAGTCTACGTGAAATTTTCATTTCTTAGATACTAAATAACATAAGAAAGACTGTTAGAAGAGAAGATCGGTTGCTGTTAAAAGTCACCAGAGAACGAACAGTGAATGGTTTGGAAATGATCAAATCAGTCTTTCTATTCTATATCGTCCAATGCTTCCCGTTTCTACTTTGTTTTTCGAGACTTGCCTGCATTTATTTTATTTTTAACAAAGGAGATAATTGATCGGTAAAACTACCATTTAAAGTGGTGCTTTTTAGGTAAGATTTTATTCGACCGATCGAAGTTGGTCGGTCAGTCACAATGCGTCGTCAGAAGAATAGAGCTATTGTGTTTGCTATTTAATTTACATTTAATAAGTAATCGTCGTTTTTTTCCTTTTAGGCTGGGAAGAAGTGCATAGGTTATATAACTGGTTGTGTAATAGTTGATTGGTTTACAATGATAATTCCTCCAAGTCTTTGTGGGAAACAACACGCTAATTTAAACTGCATTAGCTTAATTAATTATGGTTTTACGCGTGAGAGGTGAAAGATTTATGTAGATATTTTTGTAATATTTTTTAAGTATTTTTGGTTATTCGCAGTTCTTGAAGAATGCTATTGTTAGGTGTAGAAGTTTACGCGACGTTTCGTCCTGCGGTGCGTGATTGAAATGAGGCTTTGAGAAATGAGGATGTCTCGCTCTGGCTTTGTATATGGATTTATCTAAAATGTGGTATTTACAGTTTCAGGTTGTAATGGTTCTGTTCCATTCTCTTAGGCTTTCTAACTCGGTATTGGCAGGGCAACGGCGTTTCCTGCAGTTAAGCGTTTTACGTGCTACAGGTGTGCCGATAAGCAGATTGGAGCCAGATCATTATCTACCCTATGAAAAACTCGAAAAGAATCTTTTAGCCGTCAGGCACAAGTTTGTTTCTGATCAAACTTTTCAGAAGAGTAAAAGCTACAACTGTTATATTGAAATATAAAGTCACTAAAGCTGAATCTCTGTCTGTTGCAGGCTAAATAGGCCTCTGACGCTCTCAGAAAAAATCTTGTACAGTCATTTGGATGATCCTGCAAGACAGGATATTAGGCGTGGCACTTCATATTTGCGGCTTAGGCCCGATCGCGTTGCAATGCAGGATGCTACTGCTCAGGTCGCTGTTTACGGATACATTTCGGTTTTCGATAAGATGTGGTTTGTCTCATTAATTTGGCATCCTGTGCTTTTGTTTTTTTAGATGGCTATGCTACAGTTCATTTCGTCAGGTTTGCCGCAAGTCGCTGTCCCATCCACAATCCACTGTGACCACTTGATTGAAGCTTTAGCAGGGGGAAATGAAGATCTACCAAGAGCTAAAGAGTTAAATAAGGAGGTGAACAGTTGAACCTTTCACTAATCACCAGTTGATTTAGTTTTTAGAGGGTCATATCTGTATTGAATATTCTCTTTTCCTTTTTGCTCATCAGAGATTTTAGGTCTATGATTTCTTGTCTTCAGCAAGCAACAAGTATGGTGTAGGTTTTTGGAAACCAGGTAGCGGTATTATACATCAGATTGTTTTAGAAAATTATGCCTTTCCAGGATTGTTGTTGATTGGTACTGATAGTCACACTCCCAATGGAGGTAATTTTATTGTTTTTCGCTTATCTTTGTGCTATTTTTTTGCTTTTTTACCTTTTTACTTAGTAATTAATTTGATTTATTGTAGGTGGATTAGGGGGTCTTTGTATCGGAGTTGGTGGGGCTGATGCAGTCGACGTAATGGCAGACATACCATGGGAACTCAAATGTCCTAAGGTAAGCCGTTCATTAAGAGTTTTTTGCGTTTATCACACGAAGTCGTTCTTGCCTCTTTTTGTACTGAAAATTCAATTTTATTTTTTGATATTTTCATTTCAGGTTATTGGTGTGAAGCTTATAGGCAAGTTGTCGGGCTGGACCGCTCCAAAAGATATAATTTTGAAAGTTGCAGATATTCTGACGGTGAAGGGTGGAACCGGAGCTATTGTTGAATATTTTGGTAGTTCTTCTTAAAGTAGAAGCAGTCTGGATCAAATCACCATAAATATTACTCTCCTCCAGTGATTCAGAAGAAGGCTTTTTGTTTTTTTAGTTCAGACGGTAAAGTTTTTAAGGTCCTGGAGTTGATTCGATTTCTGCTACCGGTATGGCAACTATCTGTAATATGGGGGCTGAAGTTGGAGCAACGACTTCCGTATTTCCATTTAACCAGAGAATGTTTGATTATTTGAAAGCTACTGGTCGTGAGGCAATTGCTGAAGAAGCTTCGAAGCATAAAAATCTTTTTTCTGCAGACACAGGCGCAGAATACGATCGAGTTGGTTCAAAGTATAATCACTTTTGTTGAATTCTTGTATGAAAAGATTAGTGCTTTATTTAGATAATCGAACTAGATTTGGACAAGCTGATTCCTCATGCAAATGGCCCTTTTACACCTGATTTGGCGTCTTCTATTGAAAATCTTGGCTCTAACGCAAAAGCGAGTAGTTGGCCGCTAGATATCAAAGTTGGGTTAATTGGGTCATGTACTAATAGTTCATACGAGGACTTGACACGTGCTGCCAGCATTGCTAAACAGGTTTTCCAAATGTATTTTGAATGTAATGTTTCCTAATTTAATTTTGATTTGAAGCAGGAAGTGGATGTTGACGAATTTAACAGTCTTCCAAATCTCAAGTTTCTTTAAAACTTGGACTCACTAACATTTTTAGGCGCTGGAACACGGAATCAAAGCGAAGTCGCAGTTCTTTGTCACTCCAGGCAGTGAACAAGTTCGTGCAACTATTGAGAGAGATGGTTTAGCTCAAACCTTCCGTGATTTTGGTGGGATCATCCTTGCCAATGCTTGTGGTCCCTGCATTGGACAGTGGGATAGAAGGGACATCAAGAAAGTAATAAATTTTCTTTCTTGAAATAGTTATATGTAATACTTACAGCCAAATTTAGTCTTAGAGAAGCGACTGGAGATAAAATACGCAAAATTAGCACTTTAAAATTTATTCTTACACCTTCTTGACTTTGCAGGGGGAAAAAAATACTATTGTGACATCCTATAATCGCAACTTTACTGGTCGCAATGATGCAAATCCTGCAACTCATGCATTTGTTGCGTCTCCTGAATTGGTTACAGCTTTGTCAATCAAGGGTCGATTAGATTTTGATCCTAGGAAAGATGAGTTGGTCGGAGCTGATGGTAGGTAAATATGCACTTATGCGATGCTGACGTCGTATCTGCCTTCATTTGAAATTTTAGGGAAAAAATTCAAACTGAATCCTCCACATGGTGAATCTTTACCAAAGAGTGGGTACGACCATGGAGTAGACACTTACCAGCCTCCTACAAATTCTGGACAGGTTGTGGTTGATCCAAAAAGTGAACGTTTACAACTGTTAGAACCGTTTGCCAGATGGGATGGCGAGGACTTGGAAGATCTTACCATTCTCATCAAAGTATCGTCCATTTCTGTGATTCCTCTGAGTTTTTCCAAGGGAATATTTTTGAGCTATTAATATAGTGGAGGATTAGAAGACTGGTTTGTTGTAGGTTAAAGGCAAGTGTACTACGGACCATATCAGTGCTGCTGGTAAATGGCTGAAGTATCGTGGACACTTGGACAACATTTCGAACAACCTGTTTCTTACTGCAATTAATTCTGAAAATGGTGAGATGAATAAGGTACGTGAGATTCCTGAGTAAAAGTAAGGTATTTCATTTTACAGGGATTTTTCTTTTTGTCAATTTATTTTTGTTTGTAGCAGAATGTTTGATTTTGATTCTTACTCTTCTTTTGATGTTCAGGTGCGAAATCAAGTCAAATCATCTTTTGGCCCTGTTGCTGAGACTGCTAGGTTTTATAAAAGTAAAGGGATATCTTGGGTCGCTATTGGTGATGAGAATTATGGGGAGGGCTCGTCTCGTGAACATGCTGCTTTAGAGCCACGTCATCTTGGCGGTCGGGCAATTATAGTGAAGAGTTTTGCCAGGATTCACGGTCGGTTGACAGTTATTCAATTGCTATTGGGAATATTTTTTTAGATTAGAGTAAGAAATGGAACTATTAAGTATTTTGTCTTTCAGAACTATGAACTTCACAAATTTTTTACAGAAACTAACTTGAAAAAACAGGGTATGCTTCCACTGACCTTCGCTGTGGCATCTGATTATGATAAGGTGGAACCCACAGATAAAATATCTATCCTTGGCCTTAAAAGCTTCCAGCCTGGAAAGGTTTCTTTTACTTTTTTCTAACCTTCTCACATGCTGTTTTATATCGTAATCGTCTGGTTCAGTAGACGATATTCTCCAATTCCGGTTCCTTATATCCAGTTACTTTCGGCTATTAAAGTTGGGCTTTTTGGCGCATAGAACTTTACATTGAGATTACTCGTGATAGTAACAAAAAGTTTTTTTTCAGCCTTTAAAATGTGTATTAAAACATGCAAATGGTAAAAAGGAAGAGATATGGTTAAATCACTCTTTTAATCAACCACAGATCGAGTGGTTTAAGGCTGGTTCAGCATTGAATGCTATGAAGGATGCTTTTGCAAGGAAGAATTAACTTCTTTTTACAGATTTTTCGGCTGCGGTGCAACGCTGTCTGCAATTGAGTTTGTAAGTTTTTTCTTTTGATTATTACTGTGACGAATTAGTTACGGGAAAGCTAGCTTTCCCTAACTAGATATTAGTTGATTTACTCTGGGATTTTGTTGTAACTTTCCTTCTGTTTGGCTCCTTTCTCTAACACCTTCAGATTGATGGTAATTTTTTGAGTGTTGTATATTGGTGCTACTGGCTCAAATGTGACCTCTTACTGTTTATGGCTTTTCTTTTTTCCTCTCAGAATATGCTTCTGTTAGCGGCGTTCAAGTGTTTGTTAATACCGGTGACTCCAAGTCTTTTAATATGTAGCATGTCTTGAATTAGGTTGTTTAGGTTGTATTACAGCTATATTTTCTGTTCGAATATTTTCCTAGTGGTGCGTGTTGCGCACCACATTTTATTTCTGTAAGAAAGCGTGTGTATCAACAATTTTGCCGTAGGATGAGTGTTTATTTCCTTTAAAAGGTTATCTTTGCTGGTATTTAATGGTGTAAGGCCAGCAGTGTTTGTTGCCGAAAATCATCTGAATTTCTGTTCAGGTTGTTTTCTTCCAATGAGTCATATTTTGTTGCCTTATTTCAGGAATAAGTGGTTATTGCGATAAACCTACTGCTGCTTTTCTCTGTGACTTTTGTAGGGAGCGCCTGCAAAAACGCTTATTTACCAGGTTTGGACGGGTGTAGAGTAAGCTTGCAAATTAAGGAGGCTTAGGGCGGCTGTTACTGGGCGGCCTTTGTTAAATTTCAGCAAACTCGATAGAATTGAGGGTGTACTGATCAGTGTACTCAGAACTCACTCAAGGATGTCAGGGGCGACTGTCTTTAGACAGTGGTTGTGGATGGTTGTGGAGCGTGGCCAGAAGTCAAAGAAATTTCCCGGGTAGGGCTGCCTAATTTTTATGCAAGTAACGAAAGTTTGAACTAACCAGTAATACACCCAAGGACGCCATACTTGCCCACTTCCATATCAAGCCTCTCAACTCACAAGCTGGCAGTAACTCCGTACAGCTGCTCGTGAGCCTCATCCGGTCTTGAAGAATACGGCTGTTTGAACCCAGCTGTAAAGCTTTGTTTGATAGTGCCCCTGTCCTTGAATCCAGTTTTGCCATCCCGAACTAAGGCCAGTTAGCGTACGTTCGTATTCATAGGAAAAAGCAGTTGTATTTATAGGAAATTTTTTTTTTTCATGCATGTAACAGAGTTTTATGGCACAAGACTAGCGTCTTCCCATTATTAGTTCTCAACGTTCCATTTCAGTGCGTCTTTCCGCCAACGTCAGAAATAATTTCTGGCAGTGATGGAGAGGCGAAAGTTTTATTAAAGTAGGAATTTTGTAGATTTTTTAAAGTTTCTAGAAGATGAGTGTAGCTAGAAACTTTGCATATCACGGGTGACCGAAGACTATATACAAAGAAGTGCTCTTTAAGATGGCCGCAACATACTACAGCTCCTGGGAATGAAATTTTAATGCGCTAGTTCCCAGGTAATCCATTTTAAAGATATTTTTAGTACCGACCACCATGGCGATTACTAACAGGAGTCCAGAGTTGATTCCTACAACGCAAGTTCAAACTACCAGCAGAGTAGGTTTAAAAAATAGTAGTAGTGGTGGTAGTAGTAGTAGTGAGGAAAACTGGCTGATGATGAAGCAGTTAGTGAAGCGAAAATAGATGACTACAAAACAAAAACGGGAAAAATTCTTATTTTTAAACCACAAATCCCCAACTCCTCACTAAATTTACTAAATTTGCGGCAAAATGACTGTAAAGACGCGGTACCAAAAGCATTTCTTTAGAAACCCGCAGCTTATTCTGCCTTGCTTTCTGCGCCTACAAGGAATACACTCACTGGCCGAGACGATCTTCCTTCCCTTGTGGAGTTCCTTGGGCGGGAATATCG